AGGCCCAATCAGTTCATTGACGGTGGGGTCTTTCACACAATACGCTCGATGCCTCGTCATAGTCAGGCGGTGGAACGTCGACTCCGTCATCATCGACTGCGGGCTCAGGTTCTTCTTCTCCACAACTTTCTGTACTGCAACCATTTAGTAGAGCGGAAAAGTGTTCCCTCCATAATTTAAGTACGCCCTTGACATCAGTTACTAGGTCGCCATTATTGTTCTTACAGCAGTACGCCCCGGTCTTGAAACCTTCCGTAAGTCGCCTAACTCTCTGGTAAAATTTTCGGGCATTCTTCCTGTCGGCCAGCGTTTCAAGCTCATCGCACTCACGTATTTCGGCCTCTCTTCTTATTGCGGCAAATACGTCTCGCTTCCCTCTTCAGATCCCTTAAGCGGTCCCACATAGCGCGTGTCGCGCACGATCACAGCATGGCCCTGTAGGCGGCATCTTTTTTCTCTGCAGCTTCCGGACGCTCCTCTCGCATATGTCGTTTTGTTGAAGAGTGCTCTCTGAGAGCAGGTGTGAGAGCCCAGTAGCGAAAGCGCTGGCTGTCCGTTGTGATTGCAGCTTTTCGACGTTAAGCTTTCCTTGCATATTTGGGCGCACATTTTTTGCTGCACAGAGGCAGGTGCGTGTCTTGGCTGCAACAAGATAGTGGTCCGAGTCGATGTTTGGGCCTCGGAGTGTGCGTACGTCTAAAACACTGAAAGCGTGCCTTCCGTCTATAACAACATGATCGATTTGGTTTCTCGTTTTTCGATCCGGAGACAGCCACGTAGCTTGATGGATCTTTTTATGCTTGAAACTAGTACTGCATACTACCATGTTTCGGGCCCCGGCGAAGTCGATCAGCCTCAATCCATTGTCGGACGTTTCGTCGTGGAGGCTGAATTTTCCGACGGTGGTTCCAAAGATCACTTCCTTACCCACCCTGGCATTGAAGTCGCCAAGCACGATTTTGATATCATGACGGTGGCAGCGCTCGTACGTGCGCTTCAAGCGCTCATAGAAGAGATCCTTGGATGCCTCATCCTTCTTTTCCGTCGGAGAATGGGCGCAGATGAGCGAGATGTTGAAGAATCTCGCTTTGATGCGGATTGTGTCTAGACGCTCGTCCACCCGGGTGAACGACAGTACTCGGCGACGGAGTCTCTGTCCCACCACAAATCCAACTCCGAATTTGCGCTCCTTTACATGGCAGCTGTAGTAGACGTCGCAAGGCCCCAGACATTGCTTTCCTTGCCCCGTCCAACGCATTTCTTGGATGGCGGTGATGTCAGCTTTTGTCCTTACGAGGAAATCAACCAGCCGGGCAGAGGCACCTTCCCCATTAAGAATCCGGACATTACAGGTGCATGCCCTCAAATCGGAGTCCTTTAAACGTTTGCCGGGGTTGTCATTATAAGGGGGGGTCTCATCCGAGGCTTTGCCTTGCTTCTTCACTGGAAGTGGTTTTTACGTGGCGGGTCCCAAACCCAGCGCACAACTCATTGCTGAGTCGGGGGTGGTTTCGCAACGAAATACACGTTTATATAGCAAGCCGCTTGCTCCAAGCAGACACCCGCTTGCAGCCGCACCTACTGGTGAACAGACGCTGCAGACTTCAGTGTGCCCTTAAACCGAATAAGTTGGAGTGGCCCCACCGAAGCTCCCTCTCTTTCTGCCGTGACCAAAGGCTCCATTCGGATTGGTTACCGCATCTCGCGCGTGGGTTCTTCACGTTGCCCAGAGTGCGTGAGTAAATTAGCGCCCTTAAATTTCGCAATGTTGAAGTTTCAAGCATTTCTGAAATTTACCGTTACATGAAAAACGGCCGTAATTTTAGTCCGATTTCAATAATTTTCAACGTTTTGCTTCTATGTGGCAAGCACCATAATTGGGCGTGGCTACGCTCATTTTCCAAAAATGTATAGTATTCTTATTTTTCGTCTAAAACTTATTGTAAATATCAATTTTGAGTGAAAAATCTTCAGTAGTTTCTAAAATATCGCAGATTTCGTATTTCTGAAAATTACCGTTATATGGGAGGTAGGCGTGGTTATTGTCCGATTTTTCCCATTTTCAATACCATCCGTCCTACGCTAGAGAGAAGTGTACGTACCAAGTTTCGATAAGATATCTCAATTTTTACTCGAGTTATCGTGTGCACAGACGGACGGACGGACGGACAGACAGTCACCGCTTACTCGATTTCTCTTTTTATTCTGATCATTATGTATACATCTGTCTATATCTATCTCGATTCGTTTTGCCTGTTACAAACAACCGTTATGTGAACAAAGTTATAATACCCTTGTGCACAAGTGCGCTCGGGTATAAAAACAGCATATTAGGGGCCATTAATATATCTATTTTAAATTATAGTTAAATTATTAATTAAAATTAACTACAGAAAAATTACACAGAATTTTCTCTAGTTAAGTTTAATAATAGTTCAAAATAGATAAGTTAACGGCCCTTAATTAATTTTTTATTTAATAATATATACCACCATAAAAAATCTGCATACTCAAAATGTTGGATGCGCCGTCATATTTATACATATGATATTTCGGTGCAAAGCAACGATGTATAAATTGTTAGTTTACCTTGCGAAATTGCGGAGGAATATGACAGACTATATGGAAAACTTGATTTTTGCATTTCTATTTTCAATAACGTCTTGTCCGGTTATTTGGTTTACTATACAGGTATGTAGAGCTATGAATTTAAAAAAATACAGCAGCGTGCACTGGGTATTTGTCCCGCCACGTTAAAACCCTGCCCAATGAAAAAAAGCATGCCTCGGATGATACCCCCTTCTTTTGACGACGATCACGGCAAACGTAGAAAGGATTTGAGGGTGTCTACCTAGAATATCCGGACCCTTAATCGGGAAGCTCCGTCCGCCCGATGGTTGAAGTCCTCTGGAAAACAAAGCGAGATTCTTCAACATCTCGCTAATATGTGCCAATGCCCCAATGGAAGAGAAGGACGAGGCATCCAGGGATCCGTTTTATGAGCGCTTGGAGAACACATGCGAGCGCAGCCCCCGTCACGACATAACTCACGCTTGGCGACTCCAATTCCACGGTGGGAAAGGAAGGGATCTTAGGCGCCACTATCGGAAAATGCATCCTCCATAACGAAACGTCCGATAACGGGCTAAGTCTGATCGACTTCGCCGGGGCCCGAAACATTGTAGAATGTAGTAGTGGATTTTAACACAAAAATATCCATCAAACTAAATGGCTGTCTCCAGATCGAAAAACGGGAAACCGCTTCGAGCATGTTGTGATAGACGGACGGCACGCTTCCAGTGTTTTAGGTGTACATATGGCCAAACATCGACTCGCACCACTATCTTCATGCAACCAAGATACGCAGAAAAAAAGGTGCGTCTAACAACCAAACTCTTCTGTGAAAGCTTTCCGACGAAGCTATTTGGTTTTGTCGCTATTGTCGCGAAGATTTTGTCAGGGTGACATTTGTCAGCACAATTGTCGAAAATATTCCACAATATTGCATAATATGAAACAGAAAAAATTCGCCGACAATTCTGGCAGTGAAATTTTATAGAAAAGTCGATAATTGTCGCACCAGTTACTTTTATGAAATAGGCCCCAGGTGTCATGGCAATACTCTGTCAAAATTTCGTTCGATTCTGTGAGTCCGTTTAGGCTGCAACCTGGCACATACATGCATACATACATACTTCCACAAATATGTAGTAGATATGGTGAATAGAAATGACAAAACGGTTTAAGCTTAAAAAATTTGCATATAAATATTAAAAAAAAATGTTCAACGGAATCGTAATAATGCGATTTTTGATGCTGTTTTTTAACTTGTTTCAAAGATTGGTGTAAGAAAAACTTGAATTTTATTACTGAACCTAAACTCTTCCGATGTAGACTTGTGGGAAACAGTGGGAAAATGCCTTTCTACTGAGATCCCATAAATCTAAATCAGAATAGTTTTGGCTAAGTTATTCAAGTTTTTCGTAAATCAATCTTTGAAAAAAGTAAAAAAACAGCATCAAAAATCTCATTATTAAGATTCCGTTGAGAAGATTTTTAAATATTTTTATGCAGTTTTTTTAAGCTTAATCTGTTTTGTCATCTGAGAGGGCTTTTTTCAAATAGTTCTTTAAAAAACTATTTTTATTCATAAAAAACTCCAGGTATTTTCACATCGGTCCAGCTTACGTAAATCGTAATATTTTTCCAAAATATTTTGGTGGACGCCGTAAAATATAATAAATTTTGTAATCCCAGAGGAAAAACCGCAACTTTTTGTGGTGATGCACTCTAATGTACATACATACATACGAGCACCAATTAGTTTCATTTAAAGAAATGGCAGGTCGTTCATTTCCGCTGTAGCGCATGTAGTGCATATTTTATGCGCAATATTTAACTACTTCCGGCAAGGCGAAATCTACCTTTCGTGTCAATTGTATGGACGAGGTTGATGCTTAGACTTTTTATAGGAGCTTTGCAAAGCAAAGGTTTAATAGCTATAAGTGCTGACTAGACGCACAACATAGCAAATTGATAATAGCGTTGTAAAAAGAGCTGCAAGGTGGGTCTGGAGTAGAGTTATTTGTAAAAATCATCAAGTGAACTCATTCGGAGACAACCATCAGAACCATTGCGGTTCTTCCTTTCCGGACTAAACAGAATAAAGACAATTCTTGATAAATTCCATTGTAATTGTGCGTATATTGGATTTATGTGTACCTATGATACCTCCAGTTTGAAATTTCCACTAACTATACTATAAAGATTCAAGGACGATTAACTATCGAACCTGATCATTTTTCCGCAAGAACTTCTTCACGGGCATATCGCTTTCATTAGGTTATTTAAGACGGCAATCCTCCATGCCTTCTGACGACCCCAAAACCAAACGTGAACGTAAATTTTTGGCGAAAGCATTGGACCAAATGTTTCAATAATTAATTTTGGGCGAGATAAAGTTCGCCGAGTCTGCTAGTAATAAATAAATAAAACATTACCTGCGGCAGCAGTGACAGCGGCATTGCCGGCAATTGGGCTATCAGAGGTGGCTGATGATTAGCTTCATAGGTTCTCGGGTCCATTGAGCGATTTAGCACTTGTTGGACTTCTGCCGTTGTAGACCGGAATAGTTCTATATAACGTTGACCAATTGACTCCCGGTGCCGAGAGAGGGCCTTGGGTGCATCCGACTCGTTAGTAAATAACACGAAAGCGTCCCCAGTAGCACGTCCATCTGGTTTTTTGACAAATAGTACACCTTCGGAACCATCAAGCACATTGCACGGATCCTCGCCAGTAGTAAAAAAGTCCAACTATAAACATAAAATATCGGAATGTAACTAGATTATTCATATTTTAACGAAATTACATATTGAGGTTGCTCACGCTTGCATAACCTAATGTGATTATATTTTTTATTCAGTTTACAACAATAGAATACACTACACAATAATAATTTTAACCAGATAACCTGATAACCAGGCAAGTGTGACCAATCTCATTGTTTCAACAAAATGTGTGCTATAAAAAATATCTTAAGTTCATACGATACAAATAAATACATAGATATTAGGGATGTTAATTTTTCAGGTTTTTCCAATTCCAGGATTTTCGGGATGTCATTATCACAATCACGGGATCCCGGGACTAGTCCCGGGATTTAGATATTCATTACTTTTCAACAACGCTGGGGTCGGGATATTCTTAAAATTGTTATACAGACGAAAACGTAAAAAAGCAATATATCTCTAAAACAATATATCTCTAAAACCAATTACGCTGGGGAACTGAAACTTAACACGCACGGATGCATAAATTGCAAATACTCTTCTTATGACGAAAACTGGTAGGCATTGAAAAGGGGGCGTAGCACCTGCCATATAAACTGAACTTCTCATATAGCTTACCGCTAACGTCCTGAAATTCGACACATCTACATACATATGTATCAAAACAGTAATTATGGCGAAAAGTAGTAGGTATTGGAAAAAGAGGCGAAGCACCTCCCGTACAAACTGAACTACTCATGTCGCTTATCTCAGGAACCGATTATGCTAACGTCCTGAAATTCGACAAAGCTTCATATGTTATACACTGTACTTATGGCGAAAGGTGGTAGTTATTGGAAAGGCTGCATCTATATACATTTGCGTAAACGGGCAAGTATCATTCGATTGGGAACCATTTTCCCCTAGGTCTCTAAATCGCATTGAACTATTAGGGGTATTCTCCAAATCTTGCAAAGCCATTACACGTAGCACGGATTGCATGGATTCCATAACTTGCAAACACACTGCAACAAAATACACGGGAAACAACACTTCCTATCGCTGAAAATATGCAACGTCGAAACCCATGTATATATTTTGCAAAATAGCATAGCAAGATAAAAGCGACCCTGTGCTAGTTGTTTGTATATAGCAAATATTTCTCTTATTCCTCTTATCACGCTCACTCCAATTTTCTTTTGCTATCTCTTGTTATTGTATTTGATACATAAAATCGCTGCTTGCTATCCATGGATGCTGTCACTTTGCCATGGGGTGCACTCGTACTCTTCGAAATTTGGAATAGGATTTCTTCATTTCGTGCAAGAATGCCTCTATTGCAACTTTGTTTTTAGTTTTTAGTAAAATGTAAAAAATTTTAAATTTTTTTTTAAATTTTGCACAAAGTTTGGAGCTTTGATTTTTATGAGTTTCGTTATAGGCTGTCCTGTATACATTAAAATGATAGCCGTTTTCGTTGTTCGGACTAAACTCAAAAACCACTGGATAGAGTTCAGTCAAATTGTCGGAGGTTATACCGTGCAGATATTGACCTATTCTACTAGAAGACTCGCTAGGTGGCGCTGGAGTAGTGTTATTATTAAAAGTCGTATTTACTAATCAATTTAGTTTAAATTTGAACTTTTATTTAGTCGACGTACATATTTCTAAAATCCGTATTTTATATACAATCTGGTTGAAATTCATAATAAGTATTCATTTTATGATAAGCAATAGTTGTGCAGAAAATGAACCCAATGGCAGTCGAAATGTATAGAAACACCATGTGTTTGGTCTGCTTTGGCCCTATGTTTAAGTTATACTAATTTAGTTTTCAGATGTCTAAATGAAGGATGGGGTTAAGTATGCATAGAAATACCGAAAATTGTGTTAGCGCACCTTGGCCCTCCTATAACAGAAAACGCACATCTGTGCTTTTGAGTTTCCTTATAAGGGCTTGTGTTGGCTTACGCATCGGACCAATGTTGTAGTTGGAAAATCATACAAAAAAATACGCATGCTTGGCAGAGATCTCACAGGTGGAAATAAGACCATCGGTAAAGCTCATGACATCGAAAGGGAGTAGTATTCCTTATGGTATCACAGCGTTAATATTTTTGGCCTATATGTCAGAAGGATACTGCGCTTAGTGGTTTCAACTTAAACTAAAAATTTTAACTTTACAGACTGTTTTTGCTTTTAAACGCTCTTTTGAATTGGAAAACGGGTAAAGTTCTTATTAGGCGCCACGAAGCCCATAATAGGATCCGTCGCGAATGCACATCAAACGGTGTGGGGAAGCGCGGACATAAATGAAATCGGTGAGTCACTTCTTAACTTTATATAATAACAAGTAAAAAAGTCTAAGTTCGTGCGGTAGAACGGTTAACGAGATACATATATGTGATAATACCCTTGTGCACAAGTGCGCTCGGGTATAAAAAATCTTGTACCAGTACAAGAACCGGTTCGTAAGTATCCATGAACCGCGGTTCGATTCGGTTCAAATGATTCAATTTTTTTTAGGCTAAAGAATACAAATATTACGAAAATATGTTTCTAACTTTGTGCAAAAATTATGATGACTCTGCAAAGCTTCATCTAAATTGCAAACTTTTTAATAAGAATTTCTAGAAAAATTTTAAAGTTTTAGTTGATTTTTGGCAATATTTTCATGGATTCTTTTTTTTTGTTTGTTTTGAAGAAAATGCGTAATATTCTCAACAAAAAATTAATGACCTTATTCATAAAAAATAAAGTAGCTTTAAAGAAGATTTATAAACTGAAAAATGTATGAAAACGTTAATTTATAAAGCTCTTTAAACCTTTATTTTATTTTTTTTTAATAAGGCTGTAAGTATTTAAAATCAATGTGATAAAGGTGAAATTAGACATTTTTAATCAACTTTTTTAAGGTGAGGACAAGACGTGAGTCTATGTAGTCGAGTAGATAAAAACAGCATACTCATAATTTTGAATTTATACTAAAAGATCTTGGCTTAATTTCAAAATTAATCATTTTCTTTAGGTAAGAACTTATATCATATATATATATTATATATATCATCAACTTTGCATATACAAGAATACCTAAGATCAAAATAATAAATAGGAGTGCGACATTTGGCTATTTTTATTTTCTTCGTTTAATGTTCATTAATTTTTTTTATAAGAGTGTGAATCCAAATTTCAAACTTTGTACGAAAATTAGAGTAAAATAACAAACTTCAAAAAAATTGCATTTAAGTTTTAAACTTTTTATTCAAAACATGTTAAGTGGAAGTTTGAAATATCTTAAAATCCGCATTGATTGTTGATTTTTTTTGCTGGTGGTGTTAAGCGTTTTTAGAAAAAATTTGTATTGTGTGTATAGCCTGAAAAATGGCTTAGTGGACTTTCATTTTGAACCGAACCGATCCATTTTTTTTGGAGTTGTTTTCGGTTCGATCTTGGGATTTCAAAATAAAAGCGGTTCGGTTCGAAGCCTGTAAAAAGCGACGGTTCAGTTCAAACACCGGTTCGGTTCAAAACCGGTTCGCAGCCCTGGTTAGAACACTAACATCGATTCCGATACAAGGTATCGAGTACGCGGTTAAAGTATTTACTTGCTTTTTCACCTATTCAGAATTTCGGTTGTGAAATATATTTATGATCATGCTATAGTACAGGCTTTCCCAGGCGTATGCCTGGGGTGCCGCTAGTGGCTAGAGTATACTAGTGGTGTGGCCAAATTCTTTAGACTTTCCATACACAGTGCAAGCGGTTTGATCAAACTTCAATATGGCGGCCAGAAAATCAAAATTTTTTATTTTTATTAAAATTACCTTCAGCGGCTCGTCAAACCCCATACACAACACAAATAGCTTGCAGCAAAGGGACATTTCGCTCTTAAGCGTAGTTCCCCAGTACGTTTTGTCAACGTAAAATTGAATCAGAAATAAAATTATAGTTTAAAAAACTAAAACCTCCATATTATAATTACCATTCGTACTGTCATCAGGTATGTAACTTGAGAATAGAAATCGCTGCATCTTTTAGGCGCATCAATATTAGATAGTTACATCCCGACTTAATAAAAGGAAGGTAAAATAGCCGAAAACGTACTCTTTTCACAACAACTTTCGGTACTTTTGTAGACCTTATCCTCGTTTCATCCACTTTTCTTCCCGTTTCGCAATGCAAATCGAAGAAGAACGAAGTACTTGAGACTTACGCCACTAGCGACGAAATTTTTAAAGCTATCGACAAATTTGAACAGAACAATGGTTTGAAATGGAGCAAGTGTGCGGATATTTGCGGTGGTTGGAAAAACGAAAGGAGCGATGTCTAGGATGAAGCAAGAGGCAGAAAACGCCACGGAACATGCCGCCACTAGATTTAAAACCCGTTTTGGATGACGCTGCGAAGATAACAGAGGCCCGCGGAATTAAAATACATCTCTGGGTTTTTTTAGCATGTCGAGATTTTTTTATTGATGACATGTACATTTTAGAATTTCTAGCAATTTGCATGTAAACCCCATAAATAAACAAAGTAATCAGAAGAACGCATTTAACTTCGAAGTTAACGCTAAGAAAATTGATAACACTGGTTTCACTAGCAATTTCCATATAAGATTCTAAAAATTAAAATCACTTATCACTTAAATTGATTTCGTGAAATTGGATGTAAAAATTATTTTCTTAGCGTTAACGCTCATTACCAGCGTTAACTTGGAAGGTTTTGAAACAACCATTGTCGAACATTTTCCCAACATTGACTCTGAGGATGGCTTCAGCTGGATAACAAACCCGTTTTCATGTGGCCTGAAAAGTAAACCTACTGAGATGACCAATTAAGCTGTTGAAAACCTTCTGGACATCAGTGAAGACTGCACTTTGAATATTAAATACTACCAAGAACCAAGAAGAGTTATGAATGGAAGTGTATGCAGAAAACACTGCTGTTGGCAAGATTGCATTAAAAATACTAATGACTTTTAGGCCCTTATTATGAGTTGCTTTCGATTTTCGATTTTCGCTGGTATCGAATTTTCTGGCGAACAG